TTGATAAGAAGACAGCGAAACTCACTCCGCTCCAGAGAAATATTCCGCGAGAAAAATCTGTTGCGAGTTTTTACTTTCTCAACAGTTCGTTCATCCGGACCAACAGACTTGCGTGTTGTGGGTATCTCGATATTCTCCCCTTTTAAAACGATGCAAAAACGTGGTCAGATCAAACTCAAAAATCACCCGAACATCTTTTCGGGAAAACTGCTGAACGCGTTGCAGGGTTTTTAGGTATAACGCGCAGAAAAGTGGTGACAGGGATTTGTTCAGACTGAGTGGGGGGGCACAGCGCGGATCCTGAAGGGTCTCACGTTGACTGCGTAGCACTTCCAGTCTTCAGATTCACATATTTACTGGTCTCGCGAAGTGGCACTGGCTTGCGCCCCCTGTCGACAGATATTCCAGTCCTGGCTCGAGCTGCGAAATACAGCGCTCTCCCACGTGCTGTGCGCGAGCAACATCCAAAACACTCATGCCGCTCATAACTGCTTACACACAAAATCTTTACTTGTCACATCATTTCTGAAACCTGACACTCAAACACCAGAACCACACACCAAATCTGCAAAACCATACTCTAATTCTCGGCCGTTGACTCCGTTTTCAATTTCACAAGACACTTTTAGCAAAACACAACACACAATTCTCTATGTAACACACAAAGATCTATAAGGAATTAATATTATGGCAAAGGTGTTTGCAAATGTTTGCTTTTGAGATGTGTTTGTAATATTTTGAATGCAGTGCTTCATTTTGCAAGAGATGTGAGGCATTTTGCATTTTGTGTGTGCAGTTCTTGGATTTGGGTTTAAAGTTTGGGAAAAAAGAGGCAAAGTTTTGAACGTGTGAAGCAGTTGAAAAAACCTGTAATTGGACAAGTTTTCCCTCAGTTTGTCCACTTTTGTTTAGTTTTGTTTGACGACAGCACTGGTCACGGTCACTAATGTGGGAAAGATCACAATGGCGACACTTTTCTGTCATATTGGTCAGGTTTTTGAGCAAGACAGGGCTGTTTTGTCTTTTTTTTTTTTTAAACTTACCCACACTTTTTTTTTTTACCTCTTTGTAAAAAAAAAAAAATGGCTGCAAACTATGAATACAAATGATGTGCCTTTTTGGTCTTTTTCAAATTTGGCCCAAAAAGTAGGCTACATATGTGACCCTGGACCACAAAACCAGTCATAAGTAGCATGGGTATATTTGCAGCAACAGCCAACAATTTTTGCCAAAAATCATTAGGATATTAAGTAAAGATCATGTTTCATGAAGATATTTTGTAAGTTTCCTACCGTAAACATACCAAATCTTAATTTTTGATTAGTAATATGCAATGCTAAGGACTTAATTTGGACATAATTTAGATTTTTTTGCACCCTCAGATTCCAGATTTTCAAATAGTTGTATCTCGGCCAAATATTGTCCTATCCTAACAAACATACATCAATAGAAAGCTATTTATTCAGCTTTCAGATGATGTATAAATCTCAAGGCCAAATATCTATCCTAACAAACATACATCAATAGAAAGCTATTCATTCAGCTTTCAGATGATGTATAAATCTCAATTTCAAAAAAATTAAACTTATGACTGGTTTTGTGGTCCAGGGTCACATATACAGTACTGAAGAAAGTGCATTGGACATGTAGTCTTTAAACATTTAGATTTAAATCACTTTACTTTATACTGTGACATAAATCTTAGGTTTTGTTATCTCTGTGTTAATGAACTGCAGACCAATGGAGCTGGTTTGGACGAATTTCTTTGTCTAGATTATCAGGACAACAACACAACTGCCAGCAAGAGAGTAATGACAGTAATTGTAGAACAGTAATATTTGTGTAGGGCTGAGAATATTTTCTTTTCTTCGTCTTTAACTTGCAGTGAAAGAATGGAATCCAAACCACTGTAAATGTTTGTCTGGACAGCTTGATAAAATGACCTCATCTTTACTTTAGATCAGAGTTTATCATGTGTCTTCTGTCATGTGACCTGCCTTATAATTATTTATTGGACTTGGCTCTAATGGAGTAGTTTGACGTCTGTTTTTTTTTAGACCATGAGAAACCTACATGCTCGAATCACATTAGACATTCTCAGTAATGTTTCCTTGTCAAGCTTAATTTTGTTTCATCATTCATGATCTTAGATGTGAAAGGGTATAATCCAACTCAAGGTCTGCATGTTTTTACTGAAGCTTGCCTGTCTGCTTACTATGAATTGAGTTAATGCAAGGATTGTGCTTTTAACCCTTTCGCACGTGAGTTTAAAATATTCTAGCTGAGCCCCCAGCGTGAGTTTTTTTTAGCGCGCCAGCCAAAGCCCGAAAGCGGATTTAAATTCAGCAGTTGATGATGTGACGCACTGAAAGTTCTAATCACACCGGTGTGATCGTACGCTTCAGGGACCAGCCAAGACAAGGGTTTTAATACATGAGAGGCTATCAGTTCTCATACCCACAGGTGTCTTAAAAATATATTAAAAATGCAAGTTTTTTTTTTTTATATCAACCTTTCTAAGAAACCATAACATGTGAGGTGTGATAGCCCTGTAGTGAATTTTGATCAGATTTTAGAAGAGTGGTCCATTGAAAGGGGCCCATTCTTCGCTCCCTATAGTGCCTCAGTGAATGAGAGTGGGAAAAAAAACAGCAACTTCACATTAAACGAATGTGGCATTTGAACAAAGCTCTTGGACGAGATGCTGAGTGTCCAACTTCTCTTTCACCAAACTTAAAGCGTTGCAACTTGCCGTTATATTTTATCTCAATAATGTGCATCACATGCTTGGCCAACATCTTTGTTGTTGTTAATCGATTTTGGGTCAGGGTCAAGCCCACATTCTCGAACTTCTGAATACAATATGTACACATTTTTGATACACACTGCAACTCTGCCAGTGCTGTGGTAATCATGTTTTGGAGCTGATTTTTCTTAACGATTTGAAGAGTGTTTAGCTAGATGCATGTAGTTATAAAAAGTATAAAGGCTGGAAAATGAACAGCTGGGAGGAAAATAGCCTTCAGATGGACCTTGAAAAGTGGTATAAAACAGAAATACTTGTAAAATCCTTCTTTTTCACATGAAACATGGCCTTTTCTGGCTCCAAATGAAGCGTAATTCACTTAGTTGGTGTCACACCAAGCTAATGTGTATTTACCTCAGTGTCAGTAGCTAAGCCTCAATTGGATTAGAAGGGCTGTTGTGCAGCCTGTCGGCTGGTTGGACACAGCACTGGTTTTAAGTTCCCTGAGGCGTTAAGATAACATCATTTGTATAAGTTGTTGCGGAATTGAAATGGCAGTAAGGTGTAAAGAGAAAAGGGAAACATCAGATTATTGGACAGGAATAGAGACAGACTGTAACCTCCATCCACATTTAGCAGATTGGCTGTTATGTTGTTTTTTAAGTGTCTGAAAAATGCCTCAAATGCTCTTTTTTGGAGTTAATGCTGTTCTAAGAAATTTTAGGCGGGATGTAAACTTGATTGGCCAACAGTTAAAACAGAACTGAAATCTAGAACAGATTCTCGAAGGAGTGGCGTTTGAAGACTGATTTTTATGTGAATCTTTCCACCTGTTACATAGCCTAGTTACAGTACATAATTCATTTAACCAGTTTGTCATTCACAAATCAAGTCATTTGAATTATTCACTCAACCTATTCCTTCAAAAACGATGAAAGAGTGTGTCTGAAATCACATACTGAGTAGGTACTTCTTTTGGATAATTACTGCAATAGTTTAAAAAAGTATGTTCTACTACACTATAGTATGAATATATGTGTAGTATGAATGAAATCCAGAAGTACTACATTCGTCATGTTGTTATTACCATGTGACCTACCAGCGGTAATTGCCTCCCTGCCATTCTCAAATCCTCTCCCGTGGCCTCATGGGATAGTAAAGTCAAAGCGTCCTTCAGATGTGCACTTCAGAATCTCACCAGCAGAGTTTTATGAATACTACAAATTCGGACATACTACTCTTTTCACTTACACCGTGTCTACACCGGACGCGACAGTTGTCGTGTCGCGCCGCAACCGTCTGTCTACACTGGACGCGACAAAGCGACCGTTGAAAATCATTTGAAATTTGTGTCAGTACATCATAAATAGAACGCAGCAGCAGTTTACTGTCGGGAATTTGTCGCGTCGTGCCGCATCCAGTCTAGACAGCATAGGTTCTATTGTATTTTGTTGCGCCGCTCGCTTCCGGTGTAGACACGGTTATGGAGTTGTTTGGAGATAACATCTTAATAACTTTACTAACATCAGATTTGAACACAGAATCGGGATGATTTAATGAGCACTAGTGTAAATGTTTATCAGGCTGTTGAACTCAAAAGAGATGGTTTTACCCACCTGCTGACAATCTCAGTGGGTGAATAAAAACAAAGCAATTAGCATCCCAGTCCTTGTCACTGTTTTAATATAGTATGCAAATTAAACGTTTTCCTCATATGTTCTTGCGCATGGATGATCCTAATGGAGGTTAACGTCGAAGAATACAAATAAGATATTTAATTCTAATTGGCAGTGAAAAATGTGTGCGTATGAGGGGAAGGGAGGGAACATGGAGCCATGTGTGAAATATTGCTATTAATCCAACAAAAAGAAACTACACTGTCAGTAATTCATGAATAAAAAATGTAAAAGGTGGAAAAGTTATGATACAAAAATACTCCTGTGACCAGAACTGCAGGCCTGTTGCTTAATTCTGTTATCCTGTTTGAGGAGAATGGTAACCGTAATAACGCTAGTGGATATCACAGGTATTATCCGAAGAGAAAATAGGATATTGTCGCAGATAGAAAACAACAACATTATAAGCTTTTACACACAAAAAAATTGGCATTTGGAGAGGAAAAAACATGATACATTATCAGAAAAGAGATGCTACTCTGTAGACTCTGACCCTGTGTCATGATGGAAAAATCTGAGTAAACAACTCACATACTAACATAAGAACTGATATGTTAGTCACGTTGTTCATGACCCACCTCTTTATCTCTGTAGCTCTGTTTCTGAGATGAGCCGGGTCTGTGCCACAGGTATTCTTGCAGCTGAAGTGTTTGGCAGAGCTGAATTACATTAAAGCCACCTATACTGAATGTTTTCTTTGTCTTTACACCCACTGGTCAGTATGTGGCCCAGGATTCCACTTTATGAAAAGTCCAAAACAGATTACATCCATTGCCAAAATAAAAGTCATTGCGCAATTATGTCCACTTTGCTACTTGCAACATGTTCAAATTAGATTGTTTGTTTGATTGAACGTATTTGATTATTTGTCCTGCACAACTTGGATGGAATATAGTTGTCTCAGGTGGTCTATTTCTGATCCAGACATGAGGACATAATGCAAAAGCAAACTGTTTTCGCAAAAGTAAATCATTCTGTCTGGTCAAGAATTAATAAAATTATCTGAAATATGTAGGAAATGAAATACAAACTGGGCATCTATCTATCTGCACTACTCACAAAACGTTAGGGAAATCTGACTTTCGGGTGAAATTTATGGAAAATGTAAAAAGTTCATGCTACAGTGATATTATATCATGAAAGTAGGGCATTTAAATAGAAACATGCAATGGTAATTTCTTCATCTCAAACAATTTATTGAAACAAAAGCTAACAACAGTGGTGGGTAGCTATACCACAACAAAAAATGTCAATTTCTCAGTCATGCGTCCTTGAGCATCAATTACAGCTTGACAACAACGTCTCATGCTATTCACAAGTCGACTTATTGTCTGCTGACGTTTGGGCATTGTCGTCCATGAAGATGAAATCAGTCCTGTTTTGCTTATGCAGAGGCACAATGACTGGATTAATGATGTTATTCAGGTAGTATCGGCTTGTCACAGTACCATTCACAAGGTGTAGGGTAGTTCTGTATTGACTAGACACACCTGCCCAGACTGTAATGGCCAGGGAGACTTGCATGGGCAAGCGAGCATTTGCACTGGACGAGGAACCAGTGCTGTTCTCTGATGAAAGTCGATTCACATTGAGCAGAAATGCTGTTGGAGACATCAAGGAGAAAGCTATGCATCAGCCACTGTTGTCACCAGATGAGCCTTTGGAGGTGGTGGTGTTACAGTCTGGGCAGGTGTGTCTAGTCAATACAGAACTACCCTATACCTTGTGAATGGTACTGTGACAAGCCAATACTACCTGAATAACATCAATACAGTCATTGTGCCTCTGCATGAGCAAAACAGGCCTGATTTCATCTTCATGGACGACAGTGCCCCAGCTCATCGAGGTCGCATATCAGGGAATGGCTGCTGGAGTACCTCAAATGCAATGGCCTGCACTTTCTCCAGACCTGAATCAGCTGAGTCGTCATGTAGATGGTCGTAACCCTGCACCCCAGAACCTCAATGACCTGAGGGCAGCCCTTCAAGAAGAGTGGAATGCGATGCCTCAGCAGACAATATGTCGACTTGTGAATAGCATGAGACGTTGTTGTCAAGCTGTAACTGATGCTCAAGGACGCATGACAAGTTATTGAGATATTGACATTTTTTGTTGTGGTATACCCACCGCTGTTGTTAGCTTTTGTTTCAATAAATTGTTTGAGATGAAGAAATTACCATTGCATGCTTCTACTTAAATGCCCTACTTTCATGATATAATATCACTGTAGCATGAACTTTTTACATTTTCCATAAATTTCACCTCGAAAGTCGAATATCCCTAACTTTTTGTGAGTAGTCTATCTATCTATCCATCCATCCATCCATCCATCCATCCATCTAAAGAACTAAATTTATTTACTTACAATTAAACTAGGCAGCAATTATGATGCATGCAATCTTAAAATATTCCATGGAAATCAGCAGGCAATTTATTCTAAAAGGATTTCAGGCCTGTCATTTTTATGGGTGCAGACAATGCACGGTCTGTCTCACTACATGAAATCATGGCATGAGTGAGTTAGAGAGGGACTCGTGGAGGAAAACTGTTTGCAAGAGCTTCTGGGGAGATGAAAGAGAAAATTTTAATACGGAAAGGTCAACACTTTCTCCATTATGTCAAATTTCATTACAGAGAAGACAGCCATCTCTACCATTGAGGTTAGACTTAATGCATCCAAATTGCAGCAATTACGATTTCATTTTAAAACATCCTTTTTTTCCCCCAAGACAATGATTATTGCTATACATAATCATTTTATGAGTAAGAAAAGAGATTGCAAGAGAAACAATTCTGTTCTTACTTTAGGGAAATACAAAAAGGACTAAACATAATTTAATACATCTTCTTCCCGGAATGGATTTTAGACCAAAAAAAAAAAAAAAAAAAAATTAGTACATGCACTCAAAAATGAGTCACTTGTCACATAAAACCCACCTGTCTAAACTATCATGTGCTCAACCTTTAAAATATGTTGGAAAGACAAAAAAATAAAATGACTCCTGTCTCATTTCTTTAAGGCACTTCAAGGCAACCTTTATCCTCCTATTGAGTCCCATTTTTCACTATTTCAAGTGACTCGGCTTGACAGTTTAAGCATGCTCAGTGGCAGTGTGGCCGTTAGTAAGGCTGAACTTTAGGATTAGCCTTAATTACTCAGTTTAGCATATTACCTCTGTAAAATGCCAAAAGCATATGCTGGCTTTCACTTTAATTAAACAGAGGAAGAGAACAGGGCCGCAGGGAGTCGCCGACAAAGAGAGGACAGAGACAAAGCAATGCCTAAATATTTCTGGAACACTGGCCACTGGATGACCTCCACCCTGAATAAAACTTGGCAGCAGGTTATACAAGGTCAATGTTCTTATTGTTGTCAACAAATCATCTTAATAAAGCCGAGGATGCTGCCTCTTTGTGGACAAAAGAGGAAAAACACCCTTCTGGAGTTAGAAGTGCTGGAAGAATGATTCACACTGAATAATAAATTATAAATAATAATGGTTTTCTTTCCCCAAAAATGCTAGTTAATGTTAACCCTTTGGACTGAAACTTACTGACTTTACTCACACAGAGTATAACAATTTCCCAAAAATGTGTTTAAAAAAAAAAAATTATACAAAAAAAATTATACTTGTTATACTTGTAGTGTTAAAATAATATTGAAACCAAAATATTGAAATATGGGAACAACAAATTAGGTAAAGGATTTTCAGCACAGCACAGGGTTAAAGTAATTGAACTATCATTATTTCACGGATATATATTTTACATGCATTACTCACCTAAGATAGTTTCATAAAGAAAGGAAACTGTTATGCTGTGCGACATATTTATACCAAGTTTCAGTCTTTGAATTTAGTTGGCTGAGCGACATTTTAAGTGCATATTTGCACTTAAAATGTCGCTCAGCCATTAATGAATCATTAATGCAACCAACTCACTTAAAAACACTGATGCGTTTATAGTTGTTTGCAGATGGTTGGGTCTGCTTTGGAATTGTTGTTTGAAAAGAATAGGGAAGTAACAGGCAAAATTGTTAAGCTAAAATGTAAGTTGATTAATATTAACTTCTTCTTTATAAAACTGCATTGTATAACAATCATAACATGTTATTCTGATTCTGAATATCACCTGCCCACTGTCAAATTTCAGACATGTTGATATACAGTACAAAATCACTCTTGCTTGAGTAATATTACCTTCAGAGCTATAATTTCCATAATTTCCCTTTAAAAAAAGAAAAAAAAAGAGAAGCTATTTCACTTAAAAAAATATTCTAACAAGTCAATTGAAGGAAAATATTTAGTGCAAAAAAGTGCAATGAGAGGGTCTCTTTAACCAAAAATAAAACAAGTCAAAAGAGTAGAAAATAATAGAGAATGCTAGTATTAGAGGGTCATTTTTTAAAATAAATAAAAAGAAAACAAGTAGACAGAATAAAAAAATAATAGAGAAAGCTAGTGTTAGAGTCTCTTATTTTTTAAATGAAAACAAGCAGTTAGATAATTAATAGAGAGTACAAGTGTTAGAGGGTCAAATGTTTTTTTAATAAAAAAGAAAACAAACAGATAAAAATAGAATTAGAATAGAGAGTGCTAGAGTTAGAGTGTCAAATAAAGATGGAAGAGATGTGGTTTTAGCCGATTCGTGGAGATGGCTAAGGACTCAGCTGCTGGGATTGAGTTGGGCAGGTCATTCCACCAGGAGGGACCAGTTAATGAAAAAGTCAGTGAAAGTGATTTTGTGCCCCTTTGAGATGGCACCTTGCAGCGGCATTAATTAATTGTAGAGGTTTGATAGAACTTCTTCTTTATAAAACTGCATTGTATAACAATCATAACATGTTATTCTGATTCTGAATATCACCTGCCCACTGTCAAATTTCAGACATGTTGATATACAGTACAAAATCACTCTTGCTTGAGTAATATTACCTTCAGAGCTATAATTTCCATAATTTCCCTTTAAAAAAAGAAAAAAAAAGAGAAGCTATTTCACTTAAAAAAATATTCTAACAAGTCAATTGAAGGAAAATATTTAGTGCAAAAAAGTGCAATGTAAAAACAGTTCACTGAATTATGTAAATTAATTGCATGGCATGACTGTGGTCACCTCCAAAAGTACAACTATTACAATGGTGTGACTTGTATGTTGTATATTTTGGATAGTAAGATGATTAAAAGGCCTCTTTTATCATGCATCCAGCAGCTTTCAGATTCCTTATTGGTTATAGCATGACTCCAGAGTGCCTCAGCAGCCAATCAATACCATCCAGCAGTCCTGTCAGTGTTTCCGCAGCTGTGTCCTGAACCTAAAGCATGACAAAACATATACTGAAGCCTTATTGCATATACGATATTAATTCCTTCTACACTTCAGTCAGAAATTCTTTGGTTATGTTTCCAGATGTCTTACCATCCAAGGGTTGGTCAGTGAGCCGAGCTGTAGCTGATGGGCAACGGTCACACAAGGTATCCTGCGACTGTCTGCTGTCTCTCTAGACACACAGGAGAGCACCAGGATAGGGTGAGACAAAGCACCCACCGCAGGGTCTAAAATAACCCTGATCTGGGCACTTTCCTCCTCCCACCCTCTGTCTGTTCCTCCAATATAGAAAAGAGAGATATTATTATATATTTGTGTAAAACTAATTTCAAGCATATAGGCATAAGCCTTTAAATCCAAAGTGTGCTCAGGACAATCCAGGACAATCATACCTCTTTCTGTCTCAGCATTGACCACAAAGATGAATCCATTCACAGCTTGACAAACTTGATTAAACATGGGGTTGATGCTTAAGGGTATGTTGGATTCACTATCCTCCTCATAGACAAAGAGTTTACTGCGCAGATTGAGGTGCTCCAGACGTGCTCTCTCTCGCACTGACCTAAATCCAGAGACACAGACTCCCATTCATACATTCAAACTGTATTATGTGACACATTAACACATACAATCCCATTGAAAATGATTTAAAGTCTCATGTACATGTGCTACAAATCAATGCACAAGCAACATACACAACTACCTTTCAAAAGTTTGGGGTGAGTAAGAAAATGTATACTTTTATTCAGCAAGGAGCCATTATTAAATTGTTCAAAAGTAACTCTAAAGACATTTACAATGTTAGAAAAAATTATATATATATATATATAAAAAAATCTGTTCTTTTGAACTTTTTATTCATCAAATAATTATAAATGTATCACAGTTTCCACAAAAATATTGAGCAGCACGGCTGTTTTCAACATTAATAATAACAGGAAACATGTATTAAGCACAGAATCAATATAATAAAAAAATTTCTGAAGGATCCTGTGACACTGAAGACTGGAGTAATGACTATCACAGGAATAAATTACAGTTGAAAATATACTGAAATAGACAATAGTTTTTTCAACTCTAATAATAGTTCACAATATTACTGCTTTTATTGTACTTTCAAATAAATGCAGCTTTGGTGAGCATGAAAGACAATAAAAGCTTGTTTCCATCACGAGATAAAAAGATAAAAAATATAATTGTGTTTTTTAATCTCACAATTCGACTTTTTCTTGCAGTTTATATCTTATTTGAGAGATATTTACATTTACATTTAGTCATTTAGCAGATGCTTTTATCCAAAACGACTTCCAAATGAGGACAATAGGAGCAATCAAAACCAACAAATGAGCAATAATATGCAGTGCAAATTGATGAACAGAGGTGTGACATGCGTTCTTTTCGGCTCATTAAAGATTAATCTTGCTGCCGTGTTCTGGATTAATTGCAAAGGTTTGATAGAAGTGGCTGGAAGACCTGCCAAGAGAGCACTGCAATAGTCCAGCCTGGATAAAACAAGAGCTTGAACAAGGAGTTGTGTTGCATGTTCCGAAAGAAGAGGCCTGATCTTCCTAATGTTGTATAAAGCAAATCTGTATAAACCTTTATAAAATATATACAAATTTATATCTGAGATATAAATTCATAATTGCATGATATAAGAAAAAAAGTCAGAATTGGGAGATAAAATGTTGCAATTAGCTTTAAAAATTTTTTTTTATAAAAAAAAACAAACTTAATTGCAAGATGTAAACATAAAAAAAAGAATTTATGTCTTGCAATTCTCACTTTTTTCTCATAATTGTGAGACAAAAAGTCACAATTACCTTCTATATTTTCAATCCCTTGGCAGATACGGGCTTCCATAAGACACTGCTTTCAAAAACATTAATCTACAAAAAAATCCAACCCCAAACATTTAAACAGTAGTACATCATGTATAACACTTCTAAATGACAATATAAAATCCTCTCCCTCACCTGTTTGTCGAATATAAAGTTGCAATATTGAATCTGTGCTGATCTTTGTACTTAAAACTGATTCCAGATCCAATGCCTGAAAAAGTAAAAATAAAAAAATCCCATCAAGGTCAAGTGCAGAAAATGCAACCACAGAACACAACATCCATGTATTCAGTTTAATAACTGACTAGAATAAACTATAAGTAATGGCACAGCTGCACCATCAATCTGACGCTGAGGTAGTCCTGCGACAGGAAGCACATGAGGGGAACACATGATCGTATTCATGAGGGAAATCTCTAACTGCTCAAGCCCCGGGCCGAACATGGCAAACTGTGGCTCTGAAACCGGTACAAGGGACTGGAAGAAGGACGTCACAGATTCAAACACTCTGGGTTGGTGTTGCCATTGGTTTCGACAGGCCGGACAAACACGTAGATACCTGTGGGTGCCATGTTAAAGAGAATATTACAGTAAATATTAAGGGTTTTTAAATACAGGCTAACAACCTTCATAGATATTAGTTATAAATCACTTTTATTATTTATCATTAAATAGAGTATAATATAAATAATAATAAAATACAATTTTTAATATATTATAAATCTACCAGTGCAACATAAGAGCACCTAGAGCTGATTATTTCTGATACTGAAGTGCCATGTGGCGCAGCGCTACGTACTTACTCTGCCATGTAATCCAGCTGCATCTCAGAGTCATCCAGCACAGCTGAGCCAGTGAGCTTGACCTGAGGCACTGATAAATGGTCAACTGACTGCCAGAGCGGCATATCACGCAACAGGAAGTACTTCCACAGGACAGGGTCTCGAACCATTGACCGCCAGTATGTACTGGTGCCTCCCAGTCTGCAGAGGTCTTGCGGAGACAGGAAGGTCATAATGAGAAACTGCATGTCAACCTGTGTGTTTGGGTAAGAAAGACAAAAAAGAGAGTTTTGGAGAATTGTTTTAAAAATGTTACCGTTCAAATGTTTGGGGTTACAGTAAAACAGTAATATTGCGAAAGATTATTGCAGATTTAAAAAAACTGTTTTCGATTTTTTAGTATATTTTAAAATGTAATTTATTCCAGGGATGGCAAAGCTGATTTTTTAGCAGCCATTGCTCCAGTCCTCAGTGTCAGATGATACTTCAGAAATCATTTTATGTTCGTTCTAATGTTCTTCGTTCTTTCTTCTGTGATATTTTTCAGGATTATTTGATGAAAGTTAAAAAGAACACTGTTTACTTAAAATAGATATTTTTGTAACCTTATAAAATACCTTAATGTCACTTTTGATTAATGTAATGCATCCTTGCTGTAAAATTATTAATTTCTTTAAAAAATCTTACTGATTCCAATATTTTGAGCAGTAGTGTAAATAACACTAGCACTCATTATTTAGAGACATTATCTGGTATTAGCATCTATACAGCTGCAGTTTAGTCGCCATAAGTAGTATATTGTATTTGTGTATGTATATGCAGGCTATGTTTGGCAGAGCATACCACCATACTGCTCTAATTACTGCAGAATAGTATGTATACTGTGCACAGTAAAATGAGTGGTAAACAATAAGGCTTATCCCTCTATTCAATGCACTTGTGTGATAAATGAACTGGAAGTAATAACAGCTGTGAATTTCTTTTTCTCAGCTCATTATTTGATCAGACAAGCAAAAAAAAAAAAAAAAAAAAAAAAAAAATTTAATAAAATAAGCAAGATGATATAAATGTAGTAATGTATACTGTTAATATGATGCCTTTCAGTGTGCAGTATACAGTATATACTGTGCAGTAGTTAGTACGTAGTAAGCTAGCATTCCATTCGCAACATAGCCATAATATGTAGGTTTAATAAAACATTAGTTAAAATAAAAAATATGAAATGTAAAAAAATCGCCTTACCGGCACGTTATCCAGAGAGGGGCCCGTGACGATATTACCTGGCCCCTGACCATCACTTTGCTCATTTCTTTGTCGAATTGTATCAAAAAACCTATCTCTAATACTCCTGAGACTTTGCACGACTATAGATCGTCTCAGCATACTGACACTTATTTGTCAACTATGTTAGTACGTAGTAAGCTAGCATTCCATTCGCAACATAGCCATAATATGTAGGTTTAATAAAACATTAGTTAAAATAAAAAAATATGAAATGTAAAAAAATCGCCTTACCGGCACGTTATCCAGAGAGGGGCCCGTGACGACATTACCTGGCCCCTGACCATCACTTTGCTCATTTCTTTGTCGAATTGTATCAAAAAACCTATCTCTAATACTCCTGAGACTTTGCACGACTATAGATCGTCTCAGCATACTGACACTTATTTGTCCGCTATTTCTTAGAAAGATTTCTAGCTGTAACTTTTTTTAATGGAGCAAAGATGTGAATATATTTGCTTTACTTCATTACATGACATGTCAGTCAACTACTACTCCCGATTTCAGTTGTGAAGTAGCCTATCCTTGTGAATTTTCCCGGAACTGTCAAAGTTACACGTCTCTCGCGTTTTCATAGGCGTGCAACGTCACGCACCGTACTGCATTGTGGGAACTGTAGTTTTGGAAATCGACACTGCCAAACTACAATAGAATAAAGGATGGTCTATCACGTTCAGTAATTGGGAGGACTAGGAGTGACACGTAAAAATAAAATGAAGGAACAAGTTATCAATTTAATAAGTCAAACATAAAAATGTATTAATAGCACTTTTAAATGGACAAATTAGCTATTATATATATATATATATATATATTTGATTTACAATTTGCAAATGTATTAGCCTATCTAAAGTTTAAAACACGAATTGAATAAACGGTTCTAAATATCCACTTATATTTCTTAATTTAAAAATGATTTATTAATTTGATTTAACTACATTTAAAAACATGAATTTGAATTATAAACCCAATTCCTTGATTAATTTCTTGATCACTCCTAGTCCTTCCTAAGGACATACTCTACTGTGAAGCAGTTAACCTACTTCAATATTGTTCTTTTAGTGCCCCAGTTACTTACAGATTGTAATTAGGGTCACAGTTTTGCAGAAAACTATAGTAATTATATGGTAATAGTTATTCACAACCACCAATTAGTTATCTTTTGTGTGAAAGTTTACTTTGGATATGCATTATGATTTATTTTGGTTTAACATCAACAAAATTATGTTAAAGGTCACAAGCATTACGTAGTGTTGCCATTAACCCCAAAACTGATGACTGAAATGTAAGGTAGTAAAGGTGGAGATTTTTACTATATCTTAAAAGGTTAGCAATAGGAATATAAAATACAGGTACAACCTGAAATTTAGCTGAAGACCTTTTGATAATTACTGGGGACATGAAGACAATCAGCATCTTGTATCTATTAACAATCCTTTGGTGTAACAACCTCTCATAAATGTGAAACCAAAATATCACTCACACATTCACATTTCAACATTTCTTAACCCAAAATTTATTTCAATGAAGACATCAAAAACAAAAAATGAACTTCATTTGAAAAAAAGAATATGACCAAAAAGTTTAGCTTTTTAAAAGTATACTATCAAAATATCCAAATTCCCATCTCTGAACATTACATCTGGTCAATGAAAGGAATAAAGATGCAACTTTTAATAAGTGAGCAGAAGAGGTGTCATATACAAAGAGATGTTATTAAAAAGAAAAGGTCCATACTTAAAAATGGTCACAAATACTTAACTATGCAACATATACCTGCATTTCCCCCTCCTTTGTACCATTTCTTTTAACATATATAAATGTAATTAAAAATAAATAAATAAAAATTAAAATAAATAAAAAGTTGTGATGTTTCTCAGCTGGAATTTTTTTTCTTAAACAAATAGTTATTTGTTTATATTTTACATTAGAAGTATTATTCCACATTCTCAGCGAAAACACACATCCAGAAAACAAATCTGGACCGGAAGATAAGTGCCTTTTTTGTTTTCAGTATTTTCTTTTTTAATCTTTTTTGTTTGTTTGTTTGTTTTTACTTTTTTGCTAGCTTCAGAACAATGACATTTTGTGAACCTCTCCTAAAAGCTCTCTCCAGGTTTACTGTAAAATATTAAGGATCTCCTTGGCATTCTCTGTGTTCCAGCCCTGACCCTGAAGTGGCCCCTCGCATGCCAGCACGTACTTATGGAGGATTTGTGTGCCAATATCTCGGAAATGAAGCCTGTCCTCTTTGCGCTCTGTGGTGTCCATGCTGCAGTCCTCATATTTCACTGCCCAGAAACACATCTCACCAATGTACATCATTGTAAGCAAGTGGGTATCAGAAAAGATACCTAATGAGGGAAAAAAGGTAAAAAATAAATGAGTCAGTTTTGACAGGAATACAAATTATATATACATATATATATATATATATATACTAGTGATGCGCGGATGAGCTAAAACGTCACCCGAATCCGCAGCTTCAAATAAATTATCCACCCGCCCACACCTACATTTTTCTCTGATTTAGATAACCGCACCCGATCGTCACATTCAGGGTTCGTACGGTCATGAAAAACCTGGAAAAGTTAAAACCTCTTAAAACCTGGAATTTTAAAACAGCAATTTCCAGGCATGGAAAAGTTTTGGGAAAATAAATAAAACCAGAAAGTTTTGGAAAAGTCATTGAAATCTATTTCAAAATTCTCTGTATAATAGAGTTATGTTTAATCAGGTCCTGAATTTGGATGCAGGATTGCGCATATATCGCATTACTCATTCCCGCAGCTTTCGACTTTAAAGTGAGGGAAATTGCTGCAAAACATTTATTCAATATAGCGTGTAGGTTAGATGAGTAAATAAATCCACACAAACCATCAGATCAAATCAGTCATTTGAAAACAGCGTGAGTGATTCAGCTGTACTGCGTCCTCTCTCTTTGACCTTCTCGTCACATCAGCGCATCTAGAGCTGCTGCACGCTGCGATACAAGACTTTAGCTCGTGTTTCGGCACAGTTGACAGAATTGTCACTTGCCTAATCGGTCATTGTTGCATCGTCACAAAAATTTATTATTTTCACGCCTTTTTAAGCCATTCGGTACTCACGTGCTCCAGAGGCGCTTTTCTGTGCGCTCACAGTCACATCCAAAGCGCGCGCTGTGGTCAAATTGAGTTTGTTGCACCTAAGACAAGTGCTTAAAGCTTGTTGCGCTTAAGTAGCCAAATACACACAAAATTACGTCAAAATTGTTGTACTTGCGAGTATCTTCATAAGCACTATCAGTTTTTTCTTAAGTTAATGTAAACAGTTGCGAAAGAAAACGTATGTGTATCAGTATTGGATCCGTGAAATAGGTCTTGTGACAGCAGCTGTAGCCTATTTAAAACACGTTCATATTTTAGAAAATGTAGTTAATATTTGCATCATTAATGATTTATCTTATCCACCCACGACCCACCCGCAAATAATCAGAATGCATTTTTTTATTACCCAACCCACCCGACCCGCGGATTATCTGCAGCGCCCGCGGATATAACCGCCATCCACGCATCACTAATATACACACACAACAAACATTTTATTTTGATTAGTAAAAATCGTATTGTCTAAAAATAAGTTATGCATCTCATTGCATCTTGCCCATTAACCCCAAAGTTCACAACGATAGATGTCTGAGAACTTCAATTGTCACCTTCCAGACAAAGTGACTGACAAGCTATATGACTTCATAAAACTTTGCATATCATTTATTATTATACAGCAAATGTTAATCATAATGAACTTTAGTTAAAAGCAGTACATTGTAAAACCGCTAGCAATCCCAAAAATATTGGTTAAAATTGATTAATGCAAGTACTAGGGGTGGAGTTTGCAGGCTGCACATCTTACCGATGGAAAATCACTATCCTCCGTAAATTAACTTAAATATTTGAAGATACTAATAACCCACTGGCTGTGCTGGCTAGAGAAACCGCTAGCAATCCCAAAAATATTGGTTAAAATTGATTAATGCAAGTACTAGGGGTGGAGTTTGCAGGCTGCACATCTTACCGATGGAAAATCACTATCCTCCGTAAATTAACTTAAATATTTGAAGATACTAATAACCCACTGGCTGTGCTGTTTCGAGATGTTATAAATGTTGTAAATCTTATCGTGCTTTAAAAATCTGTCCCTGCAGAGACACAATGCCTGATGTGTCACGCACAGAGACACAATCTGAAGTCACAATGACTGGCATGTCTGCAGTTTTCAGCTCCTAAATTCCAAACAAAACTTAGAAACGCCACAGAAATCAACCATTCGTCTTTCGCTTTTAGAACAGAAAGTACATTTGCAAAGATGTACCTTCTGCCAGAAAATTGGCGGTTGCAGAGTCATGAAAAACCACACCATCGTTCAGCTTGACTGAGTTCCTCACTTGCAACATTCTCATAAGGTAACGCACACCTTCTTGAAGACACTGTGAAGACACGGAGCATTGCAACACTTACTCAAGTCATGGCCACTAAAACTGGCACTGTGGAGTGAGAGGTTGGTGAAAGAACCTTAAGGAATGTGGCTTTGTTCTTCTTGATCCATTGCTTGCGTTGGTGTAGTGTGTGGCAGTACATATATAATAATGCCCCACGCCTCCAGTATAGGCACTCCAGCAGCTCCAGCCCCAGCACAGACTGCACCTGATCCGAACCACAGCATCACACTACAGTTACTCACAGTACAGCTTTCTAATCTTATTCAGTCTATGCCAATTCAACTAGATTAAAGTATAGACCTGAAGAATATTTATTCTGAACACCCACATGTAAAGTCATGATGCATAAAAAGTTGCACTTATGTTGCACACAAACAAACAAAATGATGCTACGGTAAAACTAAATTGCTGCATAAATTGCCACATTTCCAAACTGCACAGGTGGTCTGTAACCAAAAATATTAAGCAGTGGGAGTGGATGCCTTATTTAGAATCAACAGCAAATAATTAAACTAACTGTTTCAAGTAAATATCTTCTACAGACACAGAAATACAACACCTCTTGTGCAGGTACCAGTCGCCCAGCTAACACCTCTGGCTCTGTCAAGTCCTGTAGCAACTGCTGGATTTTGAAAGGGGAAGTGTCCTCAGGAAATTCCTGATCTACAAGCCTGTTTTCCTCATAGAATGTAATGTCCAAGACAACCTGTAGAAAAGTAGGTAAAACAATAGGTCATATGAGCCATTACATCTAAAACAAGGTATCTGCAGTGTTTTTAAAATGAAATTTAAGACTTTATAAAGCCCTGCACAAATAAAATCCTGTATGCAGAACAAACCCATAAAATAAATCATATATTGCATATTCTTTTACTCAATTAAACAGGCTGGGAACACATTCACCTGCAAAACATGGTAAATGGACATAAAAAAAAGACATGTTTTATTTAATATATACATACTGAAATTGGCTTATGTACTAATATATAATTACATATGAATTAGGTATCGATCAATATTGGATTTGGCTGATATGACATATTTAAAGAAAAGCCACTAAACATATGATTGTGCTGATAATAATAAAATGCACGTATTGAATGTGTTAAACAATGTTGTTAGTCTCTACTTTCTGTAAGAGGGTGAAATTAAATGCCACATATAGTTTGTGTAACCAAAATAGCA